GACTTGGATGAGGCACTCCCTGCTCCTCTCCCCAGGCCTGATACCAATCCAAAGCTTCACGGTCCACCCCACCTCCAACCCTCGTGGAGTCTAGCAGCGTGCTGACTTACCCCAGTGTGGTCATGGTGACAATGGTGTACCAAAAAGAGGCTGGGATGCTTGTGAACTTGCTGGCGGAGGAGCCCTTCTCGGCGTAAAACATCACAGTGGCAAAGATGATGATGGCCATGGTGAGGGAGAAGAGGAGAAAGCCCAGCTCCGAGGCGCAGCTCTTCAGGGTGTAGCCCAGGATCCGCAGGCCCTGGGAGTGGCGCGAGAACTTGAAGATCCGAAAGACGCGGAAGACCCGGAGCGTGACGAAGGCCCCGGACACGTCCTCGTTGTTGGTCATGACCAGGCCGATGTAGTAGGGCATGATGGCCACCACGTCGATGATGCTCATCACGCTGCGGATGAAGCGGTAGCGGCTGGGCGCCGCGAAGAGCCGGAGGAGGTACTCCACCGTGAAGATCATGACGCAGGCCGTGTCCAGGCAGAAGAAGGCCACCGAGTAGCGCTCGCCGCACGGCAGCTCCTTGCTGCCGGGGACCGTGCCACAGGGCACCGTCTCCACCACGTTGGTGATGACCGAGACGGCGATGAAGAAGCCAGTCACGTAGTAGAAGACCAGGGCCAGGGTGCTGGTGTGCGGGTTCTCGAAGGCGCGCCACATGGTCTGGCGGAAGCTGAGCGAGGGCATGGACTCCTGGTTGTTCTCCGAGTCGTTGTCGTCCATGAGCCGCTCGGCGTTCTCGCGCTTGCGGTCCTTGTACTCCTCGTAGCAGCAGTCGCCGATGATCTCGGGGAGGATGCCGTAGAAGGCCAGCTCGTCGTCGTAGGCCGAGATGCACTCGTAGCGCGGGTAGTGCAGCTTCCCCGTGCGGTAGAAGTTGAGCACGCAGCGGAACACTTCCGGGTCCCGGTCAAAGAAATACTCCTTGGTGTCCTCGTTGAAGAAGAATTCCTTCTCGGTGCTTCCCAGCAGCGTGTCCGGGTAGCGCTCCAGCGTGGTCCTCCAGGTCTGGAAGCGCCGCCCGCTCACGTTGAGGACGATCAGCTCATCCTGCCGCTTGTTCTTGTCGGCCGGGGCCAGGGGCATGGGGCAGTTGGCCACGGGCATCCACCCAATGGCCGCAGCCCGGGCGAAGGGCAGCCAGGCTGCAACTCCAGCCGCCATGGTGACTCCAGCTCTCGGGCCGGGAACTGCGCCGATACTTGGCACACCAGCTTGGAGTTAGCTCGGCGACCCCTGGGAGACGGGAGAGAGCAGAGAGAGGAGGGCTGAGTCCATCTTGAGTCACCCGGCAGGAAAAAAAGACCAGAGGAAAGGGTCACTGGTGGGTGAAACCGTCTCCAAGAGGACTTGATAAAACGGAAACCATCACAGAGAGGGGAACTTGATTTTTTTAAATTTTTTTTCAGTCCTCCCCACTTAGGGAGCACACCTTAGCAGGGGGTGGGGCATCAGGGCGGGATCACCAGATGTTGAGGACGGACTGACAAATTGTCAAGTTCCCAGAGAGGGCTCGGGAGCATTTGGAGGGAAAGCCTCTTTAGCAGGAAGATGTGGGAAGATTCGGGTAATAATCAGCTCTGAAAGGTTATGGCGTTATTACGAATTTAAATTGGGAGAGGGTAAATGAGTTCTCATTAAACGAATTTAAAAGTGGGATAAACATGCTAATTTTTATTTCACTTCATCCACCAGGGTAATCAGGAATGGGGTGTGGATGAGGGAGATCAACCAAATAGATCCTTTCTATTCCTCCCTGGGGAGGGAGAGGCTGGGGCTACCCAGGTCTGGAAAACTCTCTGCCACCCACAGGTGACCACAGTAGGCCTAGCTTAGTGAAGCTCTGTCCTCATCCTGTGGGAGGAGTCTGTCTCTGGCAGAGTGCTACTTTTGGGGATACTTGGTCTTGCTTCTGTCTCTGTTAACTTAATGTCTAATTATGCCCCTAAGAACCCTGATGGAAAGACATAGTTGTGAGGCTGGTCAGGATCTCTTGGATTCTTGGTTCACCTGGCTTCCAATGTATTGTCCCTCTCCCTCCCCAGAGGAAGCTGATCTAAGTCCTGCCATCCCTATCCTATATTCCTTGCTTCCCATCTCCATCTGCCCAGCATCCATAGCTCCTTCTAGTTACATAACAATACTCCTTCCCAAGCCAGCCTCTCTCACCTGGCCCTGCTCCACCCTTGGAGATTCCTCCAGAGCTGGGCCACCTTGTCCCTTCACCCACAGTTCTCTTTATTTCCCTATCACCTGCATGAATGGAGAGGACAGTGGCATGGAGAATTATATTTGGCTTTGGGAAGCACATTTACCTTCCCAAATCTGTCTTTTTAAAGATGATAGTGAAATGACTCTGCAATCCCCAAATGTACACCATCTGTAGGAAGACATGTGGTGACACAGAAACACACGTAACAGCGACGGAAAATTGTTTGGGGTTGGCACACTCATCTCCACTAATCCTAAACTGATCACACAGAACAAATCCTAACTCAAATTATTTGGATCCTCTGGAACTCACTTGATTTGACTCTGTGTTTAAATAAACGAGGCAGAGGTGAGTCCTGGAGTTTTTTTCTGTTATACAAAGACTTGTAGTGGGATTTGATTTCACTGCTCTCTAAAATCCTGCTTGACCTTCTGACTCCTGGCTCATCTAAGTTTCTCTTGCTCTGAGATACTACTGGACATTTCTACCTGGATGCCTTTGAAAGTGGACAGGTTTAAACTACCTCCTTGCAAAAAGCTGTCCTTTACCTTTTGCTTAGCATTCCTAACTCCAGGCCTGTCACCTGGCACATCTTTTTCATAGTCCCACCCCAAGAATTGACAAATAATGAAACAGCTGCTCTTAATGTCTTCGTGATGGCCCAGATTCCCTCCAGCCTCCTTCCCACTGGAATTCTTATCTCTCACTCTCACCCTCCACCTCATTTCTCCTGTTCCCCTGAAATCTATTCTACTCAGAAGATCCTCCCCAAAGCAAGGTTCCAATTGTGTTTTATCCCACAGCCTGTAAAATAAAATCCAAACTCCTTGGCCTGGCAATCCAGCATCTCCACAGTGGATCCTGGCTTAACATTCCAGTTGAACGGCCTATGCACCTATCCTGGCCTCCAGCAAAATGAGCACTAGCTCGTGAACGAACCTGGGGAAGGTTTGTCTCTAGGTCATTCATCCTTCTCCCTCACCCTGCCTATTAGAATCCTACCTGTTCATCACCTTCCCTGAGATGCCTCCTCATCTCCCCACTGTAAGATGCTTTCCTTCCTTAGGGCTCTCAGTATTTTGCCTCTCTACTTTAGTGCCTACCACCCTCTGGCCAGGATTGCACCTTCTTTACATATGTCTTATTAATAATAATAATAATAGCTAACAGTAATTTCACACCTATTCTATGCAAGCATTGCACCATTTCCCATGGTTTGTGTCACTGAATCTTCACAGCAATCCTAGGAAGAAGAGTCTATCGTGTCTCTTGCTTCATAGATAAGAAAAACTAAGGTTTACAGTTACAGAGCAGTCTAACAATCCCCAAAGTGGCAGCACAGAGATTTCCCTGCCAGCAGTTATACTGAGCACTGATCATGCCAGGTACAGGACCCCATGCTTCCCTGCCTCATCTCCATCTAGCCCATCAAAAGCCCTGTGTGCTACATACCCTCCTAGTCCTCATTTTTTGGATGAAGAAAAACAATTATAAGGAGTTATAACAATTGTCTAAAGGATATGATAAGTACGCAGAGAGCTTTAAACCCAGGCAGTCTCAATGCAGAGTTAAAAGTGCAGCCAGGCCACTCCCTGGCTCTCCCCAGCCCACACTAAGCTCTTTAAGGACAAAGGCCATGACACCTCAACTTTTCCATCATAAGCCAGGAGAAGCACAGTGCAGTGCAGGAGTAGGCACTCAATTGGCACCATCTGTGGTCCATTGATTTTACTCTGTGACTTGCTAATGTATTTCAGGGACGTCAAGGGTGGGTGTTCTTTCTCCAAAAGATAGTGGATTCTGAAGACAGAGCTGAATCAAAAGAACCCTAGAATTGAGTGTCTGCTTCTGACTCACTGTAGCCTCAGTCAAGTATCCTCAAGGAGCCGGAATCTGCCTCAATTATCCCCCCTGCACACCAAGGGAAATCTCACAGGTCCCTCTGCTCCCTAAAAAAAGGGGGGTTGATCCAGATGCTACAGAAGACAACAGCAAAGACAAGGATATTGCCCATAAGTGTCACCACTCAGAGAATAGGAAAACAGCACAGGTCTGATGAGATCTTGATTAGGGAAACCAAGAGATGCAAGGAATGAATGGGGATCTTTTATCCAAGACAGTGGGTAGCCCACATGCCACTAATAAAAGATGCAGGAATACATCCTGCATTGTTTATCTTCAATAAATTTACCCTCATAATGAACGAACTATGCTTTTTTTTTTTTTTTTGGATAGGAGATTTTACTGTCCCTCAGCACGCTTGGCTAATTTTCCAAGAGACCAGGGAGCTGGGAAGCAAGCCCTAAATCTAGACATTGGTCACAGAGGTTCCAATTCTGACTTAGGTAATGTTTACTGAGCATTGACAATGCCCTGGGCATTGTGGGAGGCACTTTTCTACATAGCACTGAACTTTTTTCCACAAAAATCCTATGATGTTTCTGCCCATGGGAATCAGAAAATTTCCTCCAAAATGACTAAGTTTCACGTATATAGGAATTGACAATTTTTAAATAGACCATTCATTAGCTCACTACCAAATGGCTTTCCTGATCTAGGTATGGCCAAATACAACATTCCTGACAGGCAAGGGCAGGATACAGAGACTCCCCTCCCTGCCTTCCCCAGGCAGCAGATAGCAAGGGCTCTGGAGAACTTGCATTCCTGTTTCAGTGCTATCCTGAACCTGTAAGCAAATCACTGTTACCCTCTGAGTCTCAGAGTCCTCTTCTGTGAAATGAAAGAATGGGACAAGAAAAATGACAGGGGATCCTTTGGCTCAAAAAAAATCTCCAATTCTACTGGATCCAGGACATCAGGAATGTAACTCTGGACTCACTGAGACAGCCTCATGACAGCTGGCCGTGCAGAGCGGGAAGTAGAGCATCTGGGCTTGTTGCTGTGGGGATGCAATTAGCCTGAGCTTCGTCTCAGCAGAGGGAGTTCTGGGAATTCCTGATGAGGCTGGTGCCCAGAACAGGGCACACAACCTGAGTCACTTGGAACCCAAGGCAATGCAAGGCCTGGTCTGACCACAGAACCCCTGGTCACTCACCTAGAGGGGGCCAGGCCCTCAGACTCTGGGCCCTGAGCTTCTGACCCTTAACATCCTTGCTTTATCCCAGAATGGAGCTCAAAGAGGTAGGACCTGCAGAGGGGTCAAGTGACAAAAAGTAAGACTATTGAATCAGAAGATACCCTGTGGAACCCTGTTTGGCCAGCTGCATGGCTGTACAGCCTGAGGGGATGATACTGTTTCCCTTCCATTCTCCAAGTTCAGCTCCGTCTGACTCCCAAGCCCCAATGCCAGTACCTGTCTCTGCTAAACTGAGTCCCATCACCTGACTCTCTTAATCCTAAGCCAATTTCCTCTTTTCTAAAGGCCATGAGTATTTTATAAACTGCTTTTATATGGATAATTGAGAGCTCAGGGGAGGGCAAAAAATACCCCCCTCTGTATCTATCATAAAGTCTTTGGTGCAAGGCCAAACATTTACCCCATGAATTAATGCCGGACAATCTTCCTGAAGAAGGTCAAAAAAGTACCAGCCTATCTCTAGAGCCTCAGAATTTGTCCTCCTGGTTAAAGGTACAAAAAAGAGCAATCATCCCATTGCTACTTTCTCTGTGTGTGTGCACACACATGCGTACATGCACACATACATGGATGGGCATACACCTGGGTTTGGAAGGGAAGGACAGTGTCCCACTAGGTACCATTCCCAAAGCCACACCAACCATACCAGCATACAATCCTGCAGGCATGACCTGCTTGATCAGGGCTTTTCCATGGCAGCTACTGCACCACTCACCGCTGAAGGCACCAACACCTCCCAGAGCCAGCCTGGGTATGAATCCTGCAACAGGCAGTACCGTGCGGCCCCATTTCCAGCCAATGGCACTGCACATGCCTCAAATGCCAAGGTTTTACTAGGACGTGGACGCTTTACAAATGAAAAATATGAAGCTATTTTTGTTTTTGGCAGAAGAATTTGACAGTGGAAAAGATTTGGCAGTGGGGAGGGGGTGGGGAAGACATTTAAAACAGGTAAGCTCTGAAAGGACAAAGGTAAAAAATTCTGGAAAAGGGAAACACATTTTTTTTTTCCTGCTTTAAAAAGTCAGCTGCCCTGTTAAACAGTTTCTGTTTTGAAGGTATAAGACCAAAAACAGGCAGAGTGACTATAGAACCCATCCTAGGGCTTGACACCGAACTTCAGCACAGGCACAAAGCAGCAAAAATGTCATATCCCCAAGGTCTGCCCTTCAGTGACCTCCGTGGAGAGTCTATGGAAACTTACTTTCCATAATCTTATATCACATCCCCCTTGGCTCGGAATGGGGCTGGTTTGGGGACAGGGGAAGGTGCCCAGGATCCAGAGGGTTTCTACTGTGTCCCCAGGGTTTGGGTAGGAAGGCATGAAACTGACAAGGTGAGTCAAGCTGGAGATCTGAGGGGCACAGGCCTGGGACACAGAGATCCTCTTCTCTACAGTGCCACTCCTAGGCTGGCCAGGGCACTTTCCTGAACTCTTTTTCTTCAACCTCAACAACAAAGGGGAACAAGTCACTAATCTTTCTTCCTCTGGGGGTCCCTGTGTATTGCCTTGTGTTGCATTCAAGTAGAGACAAGAAAAAATTAACACGTAATTCCTTTCCGTGTGCCCATGTATGTCCACAACGGGCAAGGTGCACATGCCTTTCCTTCAATTTGTGCACACCCAGGAGCCCCTTCTACGGACATTAAACATCCAGAAGTAACAAAAAATAAGGCGGAAATTTATCATATATATTCATGCAAAATACAGCAACACATGCTCGGTCTTACAAACATTGTGCCTTAGGACCCCAAGAAAGTTCAGACGCTCTCTCGCAGGGAATACACTTCTTTTTGCTGTTAAGATTCCAGGTCTGGAACCTCAGCCTGTTGCTGACTTATCAGGACAGCCCGGGAGAAACGCAGAACATCTTGGATCTGATTCAAATGTCAGCACTAAACAAGCGCAGGAATTTAGTTGATTCCAGGTAACTTCTCTGCCCAGTCCCTTCTGTCCCCCACCCCCAGTGTAAACACCTCGTAAAGCAAGTCACTGGAACCCCTTCACCAAGGCTGCATGGCCTCTGGTGTCACTGAGAGAGACCTTTCCCAGAGCTTGCAGGGTGGAAGGGGCGCCGGGCAGGACCAGATGGACGGGTCCCCAGCCTCTGGTAGGCACACCGCAGGCTCGCCGGGCCGGAGAACTTTGCAAAGCGCCCCAAACCGCTCCCAGCATCCACTCTCAGCCATTTCTCTCCTTCTCAGCTCACAAAGAGCGGGGACCGTGCAAGCCGCCGCCACCTGCAGCGGGATCCTGAGGCGCTGCCTCTGGCACCCCGGAGGGAAGGCAGGCCAATGGAAAGAGGGCAGAGGTTCACACCCCCACCCCCAAACCTCACAGCGCCTAGCTGCCCGGAGGTGGCTTCACAGCCGGAGGGAACCGACGCCTCCGGACCGGCTGCCGGCTCCCCCACGGCACCGGCCCCACCCCCAATCCTTCCGGCGCCCCAGCGCCCACCCACCCAGGCGCGGGAGTGGGAGGGTGCCTCGTGGGCAGCTGGAGCAACAGGCGTGGGAGCAGCGCTCCTCTCACTTGCTGGCTCCAGAAGGCTCGGTCGCGTCCCTCTTACCTTCGGCGAAGCAAGCCCCAGGCCCCGCGCCCCGCGCGCGAGGAAGCTGCGGCCGGGAGCCGGGGGCCGCGGAGGCGCTGAGCGCCCAGCCGCGCGGGGAAGCGCCCAGCCGCTGCCGCTCGCGCGGCTCCTCCTTGCCGGCGAAGTCTTGCTCGCTCCCTCCCTCGCTCGGTCGGTTCGTGCGTCCGTCGGTCCGTGGGGCCCTCCCTCCCCCGCCGCCGCCACCGCCGCCACCGCCGCGGCCGCTCCAGCCCCAGCTCGGTAGCGCGTCCCCTCACCGCCTCGCCGCTCCGCTCACGGGCTCGCAGGCTCCCTCGTTGGCTCCCTGCCCCCGCCGCTGCCGGCGCCGCGCAGAGCGGAGCCCTGCCGGCCACGGGCTGCCTCTCCCGAGGTCCCTCTCTGGAGGAGGTGGTGGGGGCGCGACGCAGGCGGGGCGGAGAGGAGAGTCCGGGGGAGGCGGCGAGGCTGCGCCCTCGGTTCCCTACAGATCCCCGCCGGGCCGGGCGGCCCCAGGCCCGGCCGGAGAGCGCCGAGCAGCCAGGCAGCGGAGGGAGAGAGGAGGAGGACCTGGAGCCTCGCCGCGGGAGGGTGCCCAGGGCGAGGGCGTGCGAGGGGGAGTGACTCCGCGCGCGAGGGTGTGTGTGAGTGTGTGTGTGTGTGTGTGTGTGTGTGTGTGTGTGTGTGTGTGTAGAGGGGCGCGCGCGTGAGCGGTGATTGGGGGGGAGGGCGGGGGGCGGGGAGACTAGGCAGAGCCTGGTGCGTCTCCCCGGGCGAGTGAGGAATCCTAGGGTGTGCCTGAAGGTGGTGAAGTGTGCCGACGCGGGTGTGAGCGCGTGTGCCGGCGAGGGTGGGCACCAGGGTGAGTGTGGCAAGGTGAGCTCGGCCTGGAGGTGGGGGAGGAGCGGGGAGTACTGCGTGAGCGCGTGTTCGGGGGCGTGTGTGGCCGGAGACCCAGGGAGAGGTGGCAGGGAGTGCCGGTGTGTGCGCGCGTGGGGTGTGTGTACCTAGCAGGGTGTTTCTCATTCACTGTCCACTCGGCAGTAGCACCTGCTTGAGGCCAAGCCTGGCCACCTGGCGAGGTGGAGCCCATCACCGCGCAAGCTTCCGGGCTAGCCCCAGGCGCTGTTTGTACCAGGGCTGGAGAGATCCCTGGAGGCTGGAGTGGGGGACACACGGCCCATATCCCACCGAAGAGCTGCTCTCCTTCTGGAGTGCAAGGGCATGGCCCAAAGGTCGGGATTTGCTCTTCTAACCCGCCACGTGTACCCAGTACCCAGAATCATGAGTCCGGACTTGGGAGCGTGAATTCACACCTGAGCCGGTCCCTTTCCTCCCAGAGCCGGCCCAGCCCCAGTGACCCTTCCTGAAGTCCTTAGATCCTCATTGCTTGTTCCCTTGACCTAGAATGGAGAGTGGGAAGTTGGCGTGCGCCCCCAGGGCCGAATGTCCAGCTCCAGTTCCCACCCTCAGGGCGGTGGCGCGCAAAGGGCTGAATCCCTGCTGCTGTGCTGACCGGCGGCTCCGACTTTCCCTGTTGTCTGTCGCCTCAGTGCTGGGAATCCCAAGATCTCGGCCTGCCGCTCCGGAGGTGAGACAGCTGCTTGCCTTTGCCAGGACCGGAACGCTAGGCTTGAGCGATCGCAGTTCTGAATGTGGAGAGGTGGGTGCTGAGACATACACCGAGAGCAATACAAAGTGTTTGGCGAGGGCGAGATTGTACTTGCCAGGGCAGCTCTAGATCAGGCGCTGGAAAAAGACCTTCCGGAGTACAGAATAGGGCTTTTGGCTTGTGACAAACCCTAACTGTCTTTCAGTTTAAGGGGTGAGTGTCCGTTATTGTGATCTGAGCTTACAAGGACTATTGTGAGACCTTGGAGGCTTAGAACCCCTAATTCACACGTGCCCTCTCACTCGGTGCAGAGCCCCTTTCAGTGTGTCAGTCTGAAAGGTGCACAATTGGCCTTTCAAGAGGTGGGCGTGGGCCTCATTAGCATTTGCCTGGAATCTCTGAGCTGTGTGGGATTTGCATACTGATTTGCATACAGTAATAATGATTAACAACACTGCCACTCCCTGGCAGACCAGGGAAGAATTCAGGGAAGGCTCTGGCACTGATCCCACCTCTCCTCCTCCCCTCTGGGGAAGAGCTGATTTTCTCACAATTGCCATCCTCAACGGCTGTGACCCCTAGAAGGTGCCTCAGTCTCTGGGTAGGCAAGTCCCAGAAGGGACACTTTCCTTTGGTCATCCACCCCATGTCCAACTTGGGTGAGTTGAATCCCACTCCTCTACTTCTACTCAGGTTTGAATCCCTGTACATTCCCATTATTTTGCATCTTTGCCAGTAGCTCAGGGGCTGGCCCCAAAGCTTGGAGACTTCAGAGGACAGTTAGCCTGGGGACTTGGTTCCTTCCCCAGAGTGGTCAACTAGTGGGACAGCTGTGGCCTCCTGGGACTTGTAAGCCCTGTGAAGCCAGGACACTCATTCAGAAACTCCTTGCTCCATTCCTCCCAGTCTAAGTGAACTAAGGATAGACTGTTCTCTCTCTTCTGAGACTGTTCTCTCTCCAGGTTCTAGAGATGCATATGAGAGACTTGGATTTCTAGTCCAGGCCAGTGTGGATTTTATTTACGACTCTTCCCGTAGCCAGGTGACCTGGAAAATAACAGTGAGTGAGGGGAGAAAGGATGTCCCTGGGCCACTAGAGGATCCACTGTCCAGGGAATGCGGGTACTCCCTGGTCCCCAGCCCTCCAATGCGTGTCTTCCAGTACTGCCTGTTCTCCTTCCCGCTCTGCCTCTGGCCCAGCCTGGCCGGGATTTTCACTTGCTTTTCCCCCATGACACGGCCGCTTTTCCTTTAACTCTCAGCTTCTATTTAAAAAGCTAATTTGGGAGCTTGTCGATGCTCCCAATTCAGACATTTTAAATAGGAACTGAAAACCAGGAGCTGCCAGGGCACTAGATTTTCTCCTCTTGCCCCTGGCACGGCTGAGGCTTCGTTCAGTTTCTCCACTAGCGCCCTGGCTGTGTGTGTCTCTGTGTGTGACTCCCGCAAGCTTAGAGAGTATTTCAGGCTATCTTTTCTATTTAAAGACGATGCTCCTATGGATGACTATTCTGTGTGTGTGTGTGTGTGAGTGTATGTGTGTGTCCTTTCCAAGCTGTGCACACATGAGGATTCTTCTTTAGTCCCCTGGCTCTGGCCGCTATTTGCAGAGCTTGTCATCGTGTGGACCGTGAGGGTAAGCAGCAGCTTCGCTCAAAGTCGGCTGCCTCTTTGCTGACATGCCAAGCCAATGTGTCTGCTGCTGTTTCCAGGGACTGCTCTGCTCGGGCTTGCTCTTTGAAGCTTGCCTCAGAGTATGCTAAGGGTCACTCCCACCCTCACTGCTTGTGACTGTCCTACTTCAGCAATCTGTTCCATCCTGGGAAAGAAATTTTGGATTTGTGGGCCTGTACTTCTGAGGGTTACAACTTTCTACATTCAGAGTAATGTGCAGGTAAAAAGCATAGATTCTGAGGTTGGAGCTGTCTGGATTTGAACCTGTATTTGCTACTATTACCTAACGGTGTGAACTTGGGGAAGCTACTTAATCTCTCTGTGCCATGATTTCCTCATTTATAAAATGGCAATAAATAATACCGTTGCATAAAAGGGTTATTCTGAAGATTAAATGAACTATCATAGAAAAAGCATTTAAAACAGCACCTGGCACCTTGTAAGAACAGTATGATCTTTGGTTGTTGTTGTTGTTGTTGTTTAAAATAGCGGTGTTGCAGGCAGGAGAAATGTAGCTAGGGAGGAAGATAGAACTGCTAGATTGTGTACACACACACACACACACACACACACACACACACGCATATAACAATAAAAAGGCCAAACCACAATCCCCAATGAGTCAAGTTTACCTTGCTGGGAGAGCCGATTCCCTAAGCCCCAGAAGAGGGAAGCTTCCCTCAAAGGAATGGAGGAAGAGTCTTAGGGGTAGGGATGAGGAAGGGACTTCCCCTTTCAGAAGTCCATGGGGAATTTCCTATGGGCCAAGTTCCAGGACCCTTACTGTTAATTCTTCCCCAGCCTCCCTGGTTTACCTGACCACATAAAGTCAAGATTTCTGGAAGTGGAGCCACAGTGAGGCACTTAGGAGGGGGGTGGCCCCTCATTTAACTCCTAGGGCTTGGAGTCCTCTCACTCGGATACTGCCCCTGCCTCCCACCCCCGATCCACCGCTGGACATATGAGTATTGACTCAGTTGCCATCAGAGTCCTTGTCACCTCCAGAAGATGGGGCCCCAAAGAGGCCACCAGCAGGAAGAGGAACTACCAAGGATGGAGGACAGGAAGGCTGCCTGAGAGACCCAAAGCCATGTGCAAGTCCTGGATTGTATCAGACTTTGCATATTAATCTGAAGTCAAGGAGCTACTCCATGCTTTGATCCTGGGTGGTCGATATCACCAGTTTTATGGATGGGAAACTAAAGGTAGTGGTGGCATTGCCAGGGGGGTGTGAGGCTGAGTAGCTAGCAGAAAGCTCTCTCCCTCCTGCCACCTCCCAGGATGCTGACTCCCCTCTCCTGTGAGTAGAGGGCCTCCACCAGACAGGGTCTGCCTACAAGGACACATGTGGCCTGGCTCTGTAGGCCTCTCCTGTGTTTGGTCTCCACAGGACGAGGCATGGGGGGCTTGGTGTGTGCAGGTTGGGGTTGTAACCTTTTGAGTTATTTTCAAGTTAAAGTCTGCCTGGGGGATCTCAAAGCTCAGTGGTGACTCAACTCTCTCGTATTTTCCAAGGTGGGGTAGGTGGTGGTGGTGTACAGATGCCAGGGAGCTTTGTCCCTCTCAGGAAGTTCAGGGACTCACCTGCTGAGCGTCAGCCCAGATCATCCAGTTGGCCAAGCCAGGATATGCTATCCAATCTAGTGGCCCCAGTGGCCGAACTCAAAGCCATCAGGTGCTTCCAGTCCCTTCTTGAAGGAGAAGAACCCTCGCCTACTTCCTAAAGCCCTCCCCTCCTTTGGGAGGCCAGTCGTGGCGTGGGTGGCCATCTCATAAGACCAGTCCAGTGGTGGCAAACTGGAAGCCATCAGGGTTGCTGGGCTCCAGTGAAGCTTCCAAAAGCCAGTCCTCTCTGCCGACCCACGGCCAGCTCGACACCTGCTCTGACCAAGGCGGATCCTAGGAGAGTCCTCGCCTTGGTGAAGGGCTTTCTGCTCATGGAGACCTCTCTTGCAGAGAGAGGCCAGGAAAGGAAGCCAACCCCGGGAGGGGGAAAGGCCCTGATCACCTGATTATTTGTTTAGTTTCTTGCTAGGAACAATCAGGAGGCCTCTGGGTGGAGGCCACGGACACAGCTCTGAGGTGCAGTGATCTGTTCTCCTCCAGTGGCTCCTCTGTCTTACGTGCTGATGTTTCCCAGGGCTCTTTCCTTTTCCGTACTGTTTCCCAGAGAGTTTGTCAGCCCGTGGTTTCAGGTTCACCCAGCTGCTTCTGCTCCTTCCCTGAGCAATCCCTGGCCCCTCACCATCCACCGGGCATCTCCACCTCTGCGCTCCATCTCGCCACTCCTCTTCCACCATCCGCAATCGGCTCTTTCCTCTAAGATGCTGTTCCCCTCACGTCTTCTCCTTTTTAACCTTACCTTTCTCCACCCGCTCACACTCTATTTTCTAGCACACAGCCTTTTTTTTTTTTTGTCTCTGACAAATATCTCCCCTGTCCACATCTTGAGGACTTTATTCATGTTGTGCCCTATTCTGGAGATGCCTTCCACCACTTCCTGTTCCCCTGTGTCTTCTCTGAGCGAACTCCACTGAGCCTCAAACCTTAAACACCCAGTGCAGAGTTCAGGTAAGCATTGGTGAAGTCATGCCCGACTTGGGGCTTCCACAGTCCTTCCTGCGCACCTCAAACTAGGTTCTTTGCACCTAGGTGGTCTTAGTTGTCAGACGGTGGAGTCTTTTTCTGGCCGTTAAGCTGTGTAAGCCAAAGGACCTCAGCCAGTCTTGAGTCTCAGGCTCGGTGCTTGGCACATTTTGAATTCATCTTAACCTTCGTTCGCATGGGCTGAGAATGTGGGATGAATTTGCCAAGGGGTCAGCCTCCGGGCCCTATCTGATGGATCTTAAGCACAGGCATGAGGACAGAGAGAAAGGACAAAGGTGTTCAATTGAGGGCTGATCCTAGATGAAAAGAGTCCCAAAGCCCTCCTCCTAGTGCAGGAGGGGCGCTTTTCAGATCTACAAAGTGAGTCCGTGTTGCCTGCAGAGACCTGGCCCGTGTCCTTCTCTGGAGCCAGATTGGTTTTCAGGGGCCTCTTTTCTTTCCCCATCGGCAGGATGTCAGTTACACCCCCAGAACACCTCCTTGGGAACAGCAAGGTCATAGTCAGTTGGAAATGTCCCTGGTTGCCTGCAGCCGTGGCTATGTTCATCACAAAGATCAGTTTGGGGGCCTGTTGGAAACCCATTAGCTAGAACCCGGCATGGCTTAGGAGGTTACCGAAACCAAAGGTTGCTGGACTTTTAAGTATAAAATTGTGTGAAAAATCACATCAGCAAATGTGGGACAATGGAAGCTTAATGGTGTGAACATGGGTTCCAGACAGACCTGTTTAAATCTCGGCCCTGTCATTTACCGGCTGTATGACTTCAGGCAAGTCACTTTACTTCTCTGGTGCTTGGTTCACTCACCTGCAGAATGTGTTCTAATGATGGCACCATCTTCATGGGGTTCATGAGAATGGAGTCAAATAATACATATAACGTATCTCACCTCCAATAATAAACAACAAAAAAAATGTTGGTCATGAAGTTACTGTAACTGAGTCCATAGATGTCTGAAACTAGCTCCTTTAAATCTTGGGTACAGTTTCACAGAGTTTATTTGTAAAGCAATTTGGACCAGTTACTTGAGTTCTTTCCATGTGATCACTGTTCACACTGGACTTCCAGAAGTGTGCAAAATCAGGGAAGTTTGCCCCCTGACTTAATTTTTCCATTGCCTCCTCTTTTCATTTTGTAGCATCCCATTTCTGCATCCTGGACCGCCAAAGGGCCCATTGCTCCCCATTCCCTCCTCATTAGCAAGAAGAGATGAAATTGTTTAAATTAACGTGCAAGTGACTGTGTCATCCAGAAATATAGCTGAAGATATTCATATTTTAAACAACAGAGCAGTAAGCTAAGACAAGGAAATAGAGTGGGTGGGATTTCAGCATTCATCAGAGTAATGGGGGAACTTTGGAGAAGGGTCTTCCGACTTTCTGACTTGAGTCCTGTCCACACATAAAACTGGTCTCTACGAAGCGGTTACAAGCAACAAGGTCAGCCATTCGGGAACTCTGCAGCCAGAAAACTGAGTCTGCAGCCTTGGCAGAAGTTTGTCACGAGAGGATCTGTGCACTGATTTTACACGGACCATCCTCCTCTTGGTGAACAGACACAGCCCATGACCATCAAGGCCCCGTCCAGCGTGGCACATCTCTAATGCTCCTACTCAGATGCATTTTTCCTTCAGAGCTCAAGTTGAGGTTGGGTGTTTGCCTCCCTAGGTTTGTGGAAAACCCAGCTACAAAATCATTAATTTCTTTGATGAGTCAACAAAATAAACAAAGACAGTCTGGCTGCTGTCGTATGCTTGGTCATAAGAGGTTTTTGGACTTCTCTGCATAATCCTTGTTTAAAGATGAGTCTTCGTGGCTCTTTAAAAATTCTTTATCATGGAACATTTCTAACCTACACAAAAGATGAAAGAATTGTATGATATTCCCCCTCGTTCAATGAACCCTCATTTAGCTTTTGATCATTACCAACTCGAGGACAATCGTGTTTCATCTATACCCTATCCATCCCACTTTGAAGCAGATTCCAGATACCCTTTAATTTCATGGGGAAATATTTCAGCAACTGTACCTTGGTGGGAGTCGAGAACAGCCACAGTGCTGGGCATGGTGGTGCAGGCCTGTAATCCCAGTCGCTTGAGAGGCTGAGGCAAGAGGATCACTAGTTCAAAGCCAGCCTTAGCAACTTATCAAGGCCCTGTCTCTAAATAAGATAGAAAAAAAAGGGCTGGGGATGTGGTTCAATGGTTGAGTGCCCCTGGGTTCAATACCCAGTACAGCCACAACAATAGCCTTCTCCAAGGGAGAAATCCTTCCTCCTGACCCTCGTGTTTGTCCAATTCTTGTATCTGGGTCCAGCAGTAGTCCTTGGGTCAGGCAATCTCAAGGGCTTGCTGAATTCTGCCCAAAGTCTGCCCTATTCCTTGGGAAGAAAGCAGGATCTATGAAATGGCTGAGTGGTGCTCCAGGTGCAAGATTTCTAGGATCTGCAGGGCTTCTGCCCAAGAGCACAATGAGGCCCAGGCTAAGAGGCAAATGTGGTCATGAATCCAACTGGACTCCATGTTTTTCATGCATTATTTCATTTAGTTTCATCAAATCTTATTTTACTCCCAGTTTACAGATTTAAAACAACAACAACAAAAAACTAAGCTCTAAGCTAGTGGTTCCCTGCGGCAGAGACTAACTAGATGCCAATCAAACTTAGTTTCTCTTTTTTAGGGGACACAACTGGATTACATCCCCAGGCTCCCTTTCAGTTAGGTTTGGTCATGTGACTAAGTTCTTGACAAGGTAAGTAGTATAGTTTGGATCTGGAGTGTCGCCCAAAGACTCGTGTGCTGAAGGCTTGGTCCCCAGATGGTGGTGCTATTGGGAGGTGATGGAGACTTTAGGAGATGGGACCTGTAGAAGGGAGACCACTGGGGGCACCTTCTTGAAGGCTGTATCTTGTTCCCCAGTGCTGCCTCTTCTCCTTCCTCTCTTTCTCCCTCTTGTCGACGATGAAGTGAGCCACATCTTCCCTGCCATGATATTCTGCCCCATCACAGGCCAAGAATGAACAGAGCCAGGTGACCATGGACTGAAAGCTCTGAAACTGTAAGCCGAAATAAATCTTTTCTCCTTTAAGTTGATTTTCTCAAGTATTTTGTCACAGCAACGAAAACTAACAATAATAGAGGCCAATCTCAAAAACCATCCAGGGTAATCCTGCATGTTCTCTTTCTTTCTCCATCCACTGGATGAATGGAGAGAATTCCAAGAGATTAAAGGAGGGCAGAGCCACAAGAAGAAAAGAGCCCGGATCCTTGGAAGACTGTGTCACACAGAGACTCCTCCCAGCCTTCTATGGGTTGTAAAAATGAGCAAAAAATAAACTTGTATTATGTTAAGCTGCTGAAATTTGGGTGATGCGTGTTAAGGCAGTAAGTCTACCCTGACCTTCAGTGGCACAGATAGGATTTAAATCCTAAGTCCGACTGTGGCAACATCCAGTATCCCCTGTACACAGCACCTCTAGGCACGACAAATATGAATTGCTTATAAGAATTTCCTTCCTGCTCAGCTTTTGATAAAACCGGCTTTAAGAATCTCACATTTTAAGACTTTTCCTGTCTAGTATATAGCCGCTAGCCACAAGGGGCTGTTTAATTTAATTCAATTTAATAAAATTTAAAATTCACTTTCTTCACTGCAGTGGTCACATTTTAAGTGCTCGATAGTCCCATGTAGCTAATGGTTACCACGCTGGACGGTACAGATGGAGACTATTTCCATCATCACAAAAAAGTCCTGTTGGACAATGCTGTCTTAGATACACCTGTGTTCACGGTGCCCCCTTCCCCAGGCCCGTGCAGAAACCTGGGGGAAGCTGGGGATGTGCCCAGACCCAGGGCTGTCATAGTTCCGGGGGTTTTAAAAAATGGACACCAACCAAGGAGGCCAGTACTGCAGCTCATTGTCCAGAGCAGTTTTCTAAAACACAAGCCCAGGACTGTCGCCTCTTGGTTGAAGTTGTTCTATGAATCTCCGTTGCCCCCAGCACTGAGCACACCTACCCCAATGTGTCTCGTCCTGTTATCAAATCCTTGCTGACTTCTGCTTTCCTGCTTTTCTCTTCCTGGACATCTCGAACCTGGTGCTCCCTCCATGTTGGAAGAGTCTTGGTGTTCCCCAAACCTGCAGGTTTCCTTTCCACGGGAACGCTCTCCTTCTTCCCCACCTCTGTTGAACTAACACCGCATGGCAGACTGTGCTTGGAAACACGTCCAACCCGCCCACCCCTCTACCCGCCATGGAACTTACCACATAGCCCAAGGGAACAGCAGATGTTTGCAATGCACGGACCAAAAGCAGAGACAATTATATGGAGGGTTTTCTCAAGAAGCTTCTGGGAACGCCTTCTGAATCCTTCTAAATTATGAGTCTTGCTTCCTCTCTCCCCTCAACAGGCATACATCCATACGTCCCACTGACTTCCCCGACAGAGTCATCAGGGAGGGGCCCTGCGAATGTCTCAGCAAGTTGTGATGCCCTGAAACCTCGGCTCCTTACCCCCTCAGCCTCTTGGAAACAAGTGCCACTAAATCCAAGCACACTGGGGCTGGGGTTGGGGCTCAGCGGTAGAGCGCTCACCTAGCATGTGCGGGGAGCTGGGTTCGAGCCCCAGCACCACATAAAAATAAATAAATGAAACAAAGGTCTATTTAAAAAAAAAAAAAAAAATCCAAGCACATTCCCTACCTCTCCTTCCAGCTGCCATCCTATCCTTTGAAAGGAGGCCTGATATACAGAATGGGGAGAGTGGTGGTTACGGTCCAAAGCTGCGCTGTGGGTCTTCCCTTCATTGTAATATTTTTATGGGAATCAGAGCAGATCCAGGCAGTGACTCCCATGCCTGAGACATCCCGATAAATCGCCAAGGCGGCTCTTCCACAGCTCATAACTAGTAAATCAAATCTATTGAACAATACATTTACTGCAGATTTAAGAAGTTGTTCTTCCATTTTTTAAGTGTATGTGTTAAATCATACTCAGAGTCATAAAGAATGGAGACAGCCGGCCTGAGAGTGAGAGAAAAAAAAAAAAAAACGCATGCCTAAAGAAGAGGTTAAAATGTTCCTTGCCCTTTGTCGATGAGCGTGAAGACCCTTTGTGACAGGCCCATGGGACCTCCTCTCACCCAGACGACCAGAACCCCCAAAGTGGTAAGGTCCTGACTTCTTAACTACTGCCTGAGTCCGTTTTGCAAATACAAGTTCACTGTCATTAGGCTCCTTTAAGGAAACACACTGTAGCCTTCTTCATGAAATACTGAGCGGTGGGTTGGTGGATGAGGGGCAGAAGGAAGTTTTCTTCTATTACTCACTTCATCCTATTCAAATGCTGCCAAGTGGAACTCAAGTCCCAACTCCAGGTGCTGTTGGCGAGGACACATGAATAGGCTCCGTCTCATCTGCACACCCTGCCCCACCCACATACTAATAAGAACCTGGCATTCAATAAACATTTTATATGAACCGATAGGTCTTTGTGCACTCACGTTAGTGTAGCAAACACCAAAAAATTCACTGATCCATTCAACATATACGTACCAGGGCCCCCCTGGTCGAGGTGCTGGACATATATGGTGGTGAACAAGACGGACACAGCCCTGCCTTCTTGGAGTGGAGCTCATGGTTTAAAGAGAAAATGAGTCTGCACTTTGCAGTGAGTGATGTACAAAATCATTCAAACCTCATTGGAGGGTCAGTGGAGGTTGAGGGATGAATAGATGCTAGATTTAAGAATTCTCAAAACAAGTCCACGAGGCAGGTTTATCCTTATCCCCATCGTTCAGATGAGAAATTGGAGGCGATTGTCACCCAGCTGTGGGCAGTGACAGAGCTAGTGCGTGTGATGAGTGTCATGGACTCTGGGGCAGCATGTGGTCCAGTCTGAGCACTCGGGAAAGCTTCTTGGGAGGAGATGATGTCTGAGCTGAGTCTAAAAAGAAGAAAGGAGTCAGCCAAATGAACAAGGAGTTGACGTGAGCACCAGATAGAGCAAAGACAGCAGGGCACGGGGCAGGGCACAGCGGGCTCAAGGCTGGGCAAGCCGGCCCACAGAGGTCTTACCTGCCAAGATAAAGAGTAGAGCTCTATGATGCAGGCCCCAAGATGCCTCTGCTTTGGGCAGATCCATGGTGCAGCCAGATATATGTTTAAAAAAAAGAACTCTCTGGCCCAGAAGTGTGAAGGATGGATTTAAGGAGGACCAGATAGGAAGCAGGGGGACCAATTAGCAGGCTCATGCAGTGGACCAGGAGAGAAATGATGAGGACCTCAACTAGGGCAGTGGTACTGGGAATGGAAAAGAGAGGACATGAGAGAGAAATATGTTGGAGGTAAAAACAATCAGGACTCTGGCTAAATACAGAGCAAAGCAAAGGGGCTCAGGTCAGGCTGTACTTCCTGAGCAGACAACCCTACCAGTCTGGGGCATGAGAAGGCAAAGCAGAGCCAGGTTGGGGGTATGGATGCAGCCCTTCCAGGAGGGAAGGTGGTCAGAGTTTTTTTTTCAGAGTTCTGTCCAGTCCGAGCTGTTTCTGCTGGGTGAGAGGAAGCTGTCAGCTGGAGACATCCAAGACTGAGAGCAATGCAGACCTTCAGAAATGGGCAGGGGTTAACTTAGAACAAGCTCATTCCTTTGGCTACCGGGGAATGAACTCTCCAAGTAAAGCTGAACAAATCCCAGCCTAGCAGGCCACACTATCTAGAGGCTTATAGAGTGACTGATCACTGTCAAGATAAGAGGAGAGATTAACTCTTGGGTCTCATCTCTTGCCATTCTTCTTTCCACCCCCTTATTATCCCCAACATGCAGATACACGTGCACATGGGTGCGTGTGTGGGCCTTATCCCTAAAATTCTCACCTTCCCCCGGATGCACCAGGCCTTTCACACTTCCTCTTTGCACCTGCTGTTCTCTCTGCTTGCACTCCTCTCCCAGAGTTCTCCACTGGGCAAAACCGTCTTCCTCCTTCCAAACCAGTCCTGGCATGGGGCCTCTCTGATGCCAGGCCTCACTGCCCCGTGTTCTGCCCCAAGTGTCCTCTGCCCACTTTCCTCTGTCCAAAAACACCCTGTGCTGTGTTTCTCGGAGGTCCTTCTTTGATGCCAAGCTGGAACTCCTGAAGTCTTATTTGTCTTGATGTCCCCAGGTCTGGTTCATACGGGTGCTCAATAGCGGTTGGAAGAAAAAATGAGCACATCCCCTGGAGGTGAACTGCAATACACCTTCACTGGCCTTTGCTTTATTGAAGAAGGTTGCCTTTGCCCTTGCGTTGCTCGCAAGCCACATGGGAAATAGAACCGGCACAGGCAGGAGACAAGGCTGTGAAGGTGGCACCCACCTTCACCCTCAGTTCTCACGGGCAGGTCTGTGTTTCTCTGAGATTGGCCTTTATTTTTGTCCCCACTCACAGATGATGGTTCTGCCTTCACCAAAGGCAACAGCTCTTGGGCTAAAATAATCACACGCCTGTGTTTGTCAGCTTTCCATCACGGTAACAAATACCTGAGATAATTCAACTTATAAAGACAAAAGGTTTATTTTAGCTCACAGTCTGGGAGGTTTCAGACTATCATCCATCGTTCCCATTGCTTTTGGACCTGTGGTGAGGAAGCACATCAGGGTAGAGCTCATGGTGGAACAAAACCATTCACCTCGTCGTCAAGGACTGGGAACAAAAGAGAGGAAGAGGAAGGAGCTGGGGTCCCACAATCCCCTTCTAGGCACAACCCCATTTCCCGGAAGACCTCCCACTAGACTCTAGATCTTAAAGGTTCCACCACCTCCTGACAGTGCCAATCTGGGAACCAAGTCTTTAACCCATGGGGCTTTGGGGAACATTCAAGATCCAAACTATAGCACTAAACACCTTTAGGCAGACAGGGGTAGGGGAAGAAGACCACCAGCCATCTGGGGTTCTAGCCTTACAAAGACTCTCTAGGCTGACCTGGTGGCCCAGATGGAGCCCTCAGAAAGCAAGGCCTTTGGTCATTTGTCAGGTGGCCTCTGCAAATCTCTGGGTTTCTAAGTGCCTTTTGGAGCAGGAGAGGACTGATTGCTGTGAACCAACTTGTCAGTCTTAGGAGTCGTCTCTGCCCGGCTCAGGCTGGGCAGCTCAATCTGACAGAGGGGGGTGGCAGTGACAGCCATGGAATGGACAAGGGCCAGGAAGAGCTAGTGTCTGGAATCTTCATCCTCCTCCTCATCCTCTTCATCAAATTAAAAAGAGCTCCAGTAACACAGTGATAGCTTTGCCTGGCGTTTGCTGTGTGCTGCACACCGTGCCAAGGCTGTCTCTGCGTTCTTATTTTTCCGACTTTACGATACTCCTATAAGGCAGGAACTGTGAT